GTCTGGTGATCATGAAGCTCATTAGATCAGTTCACTTGTTCTAGTTCACCGATCATCGTTCAGAAACATAAAATGATTTCATGAGCTCTATAATTACCGGACTTTACACTATTAGACTTTTTGTTATAGTGGAATATCGACACAAATGCATACCACTAAAACTTTTTGAAAATCGAAAAACGACTGCTTTTTTGTATTTCACTTCAGAGTAATAGCTTTAAACAATATTTGTGAAGTTTGCCTGTATCAAAAAAAAATAACTTTACAGTGGTACCTATTATTTGAAAAAAATTAGTTGATTAAGTTTTATAAACAGTGAAGTTACTCGAATTTACTTTCCTCACGGATCTTTGGGACACCCTACAGACCAGATTAATACGAGTAAGTATATCTACTTCAAAAGGTTCTAGTTCTAATATATACGGACGATGATATCGATTTGTAACTCTAACTTCACGTCGTACATAAGTGACGATCTCCATCTTTGACGACTTACAACGAATATTTCTGATGTTATCATGGATGTTGAAAAAGCCAATGGAGATATTACACGAAACTGATAAAATTGGTTTATTCATTCACAACAAAAAACAAAGATTGGTTTTTGACCGTTGAAGACTTTTTATGACAAAAACCTCTAAATCATTTTTGTCTACTTTTATTCGTTATCTGTTGAATGGAAGACATTTTTACAGGTAAATTTCATCCCTGTGTGGTTTGGAAGCTATCAGTGTGAGGTGTCATTTCTCTCTTTACCTACACCTACATTCACATTCACATATCAAATCCACATCTATATCCATACTTCACGTTCAAACTATCACTGATAACCGCCGCGTAGGACCGTTTATGATCCATATACCAGCAACGTAATAAAGCACTTGAGATAAAAAAAAGGAGAGAAAAACATCCAAACATTATAGGAAGAAAATGAAAAGACACTGTATACAATTTTATCTAATTATTTCTTTGTTCTTTTTCTTGCATTCATTTTCTCATAACACTAGGGAGAACAACAGGTTAAAAAAAGCTTGTTAGCACAGCCCCTACGGGGCTAAAATGTGGAACTCACATACCTTCTTTAGCCTGGTTATACTGATACAAAATATGTAAAGTGAAAAAGCAAATATCAATGAACTATATTATATATCTCAATCAAGGCAGAACACTAGCACTGAGTTTTTTCAAATTAACAACTTGATCAATTCATCATTTCTTATAATCGTTGACGTCATAAATACATATTTTTATCTGGAGGGTGTGGGTGTGCGTGTGATGATGGTAACAGATGTCCTTCCAGTCAACACCCACACCCACACCCCACACCCGCACTGTCTCTACGAAAACATTTGGCAGAGTTTTTTCCGACAATTTGGAATAACTGTCAGCTAAATATCGATCGCTAACTCCCGAAATCAATCAGAATCCAAAGGAACGTGCAAGAACTGTTTTTGAAAAGAAATTAATTTTGAAATTGTATATGCATCGAAGTCAAGAAATATACATGTAAATATCATTTGAAGTGATTCGTAAAAAACAAAAAAACTGAACTTTTTTTTACACAGAGATAGGATCAACTCGTGGCTGTATTCGAACTTAATCGAATTGATCTAGTTTTTAATAAGTTCGAATGAAACTAAGTTCATCGCTGGCTTTAAACATAAGTTCTATTATTAAAAATAATTGTTTTAGTAGATTACGAAACTGCTCAAGAAAAAAACTATTCAATCTAAATGATCAAAAGAAAATCTAAAAAGTCGAATAAACTCCATAATATTTTTTATTTTACAGATTTCTTGTTGAAATATACTCTAATACATTTCGTTTCGCATATATCATCTATGAAATTTACATCATTTCTTAGGTTTAGTTTCTACGGCAGTCAATTTCAAATGTCGCCATTGTACAGTTCCACTTGTATATTCATCAAAATAATGATATGCATTATCTGCATATTTCCATGTACTTTCGATGGGTTCAGGTTCTTCAGATTCATTTGGTTGCTTTATACCCTCATATTTCCACCAACAATTATTAAAAGCACATGTTATTGGGTTAACAAATTTGAAACATATCGGACACTTTGTTGTTTTGACATTTGGATCTTTCAGAACGTCAAATTCAATGTATCCCATGGACATAACAACCTTTTGATTGTTAGCTTCACATGCCTTATTCTTACATAGTCCTTCCAAACACAGACCAGAAGATGCTATTCGCCATTTTGGAGCCGTCTTTGCCCATTCTGCTCTTTTTAAACCTGTCTCATTACTAACATCAACAAAGTGTACTCCAAAAGTCGGATTACGACCTTTAAAGTCGCTATAAGTCAAAGTAAGCATAGAATCCGGTCCTATACGATAATCAAAAAGTGTTTTATCATCTTCATCGAGTTGAGTTGCATTCAGTGTTAAAATTAATTTTTCAGGATCTTCCTTTCGATTCGCCTTTTTAAGATAATAGTCTTTAAGTTGTCGAATAGTTGTTGTTTGTTCAACATCGAAGACATAGGGTGTTGAATTTCCAACTGTTGTTATAATATAAACCTGCATGAATTTACTATTAATAATTTTCTACAAGAGAAAATCCATAAAATAATATTTATTTGAAATAATTATTTTTGTGGTGAGCTTTATAAATGACAGATAGGACAAGAAAACAAAAGTGGTCTTTCGTCATAGACATTGTTTTTTCAATGGACGGTGATAAAATGAAAAACACTATGAGTTAAATATCTTCATTAACAATTGAAGAAAATTTTCTATTGTCATAAATAACTAATGGCGTATGATCAACGATAAGTTTTCTTTTCTTTTTATCTTTGGCGTAGATTGAAATCGAAAGTGTGTTCTATACAAAATAGGCACGATACGTCACTGATTTAACATCAAAAGATAGAATTTCATGCTCTATTTATGGATGATCTTAGCAAAGTTTTTTGGTACGGTCGTTCGTTAAAAAAAAAGAGTTCGATCTAAAGCTCCATAGTAGTTTTGCATACATGAAGGAAAGTAATATTTTGCAAATCCAGATTCATCCTTTCAAAGTTTGATTTTTCTCTCATTAACTACAAATTTTAACCTGACTTCGAAATAACCCAAAGAAAGATAGTAATACACGATCATTCATTATTTACCATCCAAGGAAGATTTGCATCGTTATACAATGATTCCTGAGAATTTGGATCAAATATATTCTACGGAGGCATATTTGAAATCTTCTCCAAATAAAAAAACATGATGACTACATTGCTTACCTATTGATGACTATTGATAAATTGACTTTTGTTGTCAGTGAATAATAATCTGAAAGAGTAAAACAAAAGAATTTGATGTAGTAATAACTGTATAATTGATTGAAATTCAAAAAATCTATCTATACAACAACATTTTTGTCATTAATTATTTTTTTTCAAAACTAACCTCTTTGTAATGTGAAATTTAATTACGATCAAAACAAATTTACTTTCGTAACAATTTTTATGCATTAAAACTCATTGAAAACGATTCATATATATTTTACATTCTGCTTGGTTTTTTCCATTTGTTCTTATGATTATGTAGTGACGCATATATTTATTTCTTTTTTCTTTTTCTTATTTCAATTCTTATGTTACCTTTATTCTGCATACTGACGCAATGTATTGGTATGCAAAGTTTTTATGGTCAAAAATATAAAAATGTGTCATAATTTTTTTTTATTTTTTACTATTCTACTGTTATATAATGTGTCTGATTTCAGTTTTCAACAGAAATTTAGAGCAACATACTATAGATTAAGTCGGTTATAATGTGTTCTTTTGATACCGGTGAAGCTAGAAATCAGTACGTATATTTTCGTGCTGAATTCTCTTGATAAAATACTCTCGATTTCATATTCGTATACCAACTAGATCTTCTGAAATTCTAGAAAATGACTTCTCTCGATGCCTGATATGGGCAGAGTGTGTGAGGAGAAACATTTGAGCGAAGAATGGAGAGAAAAACGACCGGTAAGCAAAGAGTGAGAGAAGGTTGAAAAAATGACATGATGGTATTTTTGTTCTTTTCTTCTGAAGGTGAGCTGTTTGTTTTTCTTTTTTATACTACTTCATAGAAATTCTTCAACAGTAATGACATCTCGGTAGTTTTGTTTTTGTATGGTACTTTTAATCATGTTATGTTTCTTCCACAGCAACACAGGTGATTTATTAGATGACTATATCGCCAATTGATGCTAGCTATTAGTGAACGAATAGAGTAAGAGCGCTAGAATGTTCTTACTTTTGAATATCCATGAAAAATAAACTTATCTCTCAGATTGATTATAGATCCCCATATCCAAAATATTATTTTGGCTAATACAAGAAGTATGAAAGAAAATTCTTTTCAAAAGTTATAAATTTTCAATGAGAACGGAAAATATCTTTAACATGAAAAGCTGGCATCATTGATGATGTGCTTGTGGGTGAAGAGAAGCTCTAGGTCCACATCCATAGAAAGTATTATTATAAAAAGTAATTTTGTATTGTATGCTTTCCTATTGAGGGTCAATCTATATGACATATGAAATGTAGTTTACACTCAAAATGTACTGAGATACTTAAACATAGGCAACACTTCAACAATCGTCTTGATTATATATGAATTTTGAATAAACACTCTTTCACCTCTTTTAATGAAATTGAATTAAAATGGATGTCTTCGATGTGATCGTTGCGATGTGCTACGCTCTTTAACTGAAAACATTATCATATTCGTGCATATTTTTGAAGGATTAACTATTCAAATTTCTTTAGTGTCGATTCTCTTAAACTATAAAAATAAGAATACTTAGTCTAACATACAGATATATTCCATACGATTCTGTAGTTCTTGTCTCATCTATTACTTCAAAATTAGAGAGAAGATCAAATAACTACTAACAACACACAGTTAAACAATTCGAAGAGCTGTATCTCTATCTTTCCAGCTGAATATTACGTATGCAGGGTTTTTTTTTGAAGAAAAGAGTAATTGTTCAAATTTCAGACAACTTTTTGCATGAATATCTAGGTGAGAACAAAATAGTCAATAAATGAAAGTTAATGCAATGCTCATGCTTACACATGAATGGCATCGTTCAATAGAATGTCGTACTTTTCTATGATGATAAATCAAATCAAATATTAATAATATAATCAATATTTTCTTGCAGTCCTGTTGTACATTATTCAGAATTTCTCAAAGAAAAACATTTCATCTTCATTGAATAGAAAAGAGTAACATTCAGAAATTAAGATGATATGAATTATTTAAACTTCATACTAATATCGACAGGATTTTTTTCTCTTTCGATAAAAAATACGTCCAAAACTATTTTTTTTGTCACATGTAAAAATGTTGTATTAAAAAAATGCATTAACATTTTCATGTAAAATAATTGAAAATGATAAAGAAATTTTGTCTTAACATGAAATTTTTCAAACAAATTTGTTTATGAAAATATTTAATTCTAAGTGTAATTCTATAATATTAATATTGGTTATTTAAACGATAAAAAAAAAAGAAAATGAAAAATCTCTTTAATATTCAAAAGAAATCATCCAAATAATTCATTTACTTCATATTGATATTGACAAAAAATTTCTTGGAAAAAATACTTTAGCTAATTACCTGGCCTTATCAGAATTCGACCTAAACTACAGTTGTGGATACTGGTATACCTCTGGGCCTGAATTGGTTTTGTTTATTCTATACACCAGTCAGTGACTGCAAAGAAGTTTAATCAATATCATTACTTTATTTAACATTGTTTGATAGCGTAACAGCCTTTCACATTGAGAACATTGTCAGAGCTAATAGCTAGTCGAATTTATAATGTAGAAAGCTGAAAAAACACTACTTACTACCTTATCGACATTCCTTATTACAACGTCATTTTTGCGAATGATTGAAAACCAGTCTCATCGTATCATCAGTCTAACATTATTCTCTATTTAACATACGTCTTTAGTCTCGAATGGCCTGTTCTCACAATCGCAACAAATCATAAGGAAACGAATAAAACTCAATTCATCGATTTTCGGATGTATGTTAACATTACGAATTTTTTTTTTCTGTTTTCTAATTGACAATAATTTATTTTTACGAACATTAATAGAAACAGAATAAATAGTGTGAAAATAAAAATTGCATGAAAAAATTTTCGAAATATTGAAAAATAACTTAAGTCATATAGGCACCATTTGAACGTTTGATCAGATCAAATTATTAGTGTTCAATGGAATTCTCTATAGATTGAGTACAAATACTAATAAGTTGATCAAGAGTTTGTTGTTTATTAATTGTTTCAGCATTCAAGATAACTTTCATACATTTATCATGTTTTTGTTCGACAAAGATACATGGTAATGGCGTATCTTTTAGACTAGGATATTCTTTACGGAATTCATCGCGATGTAAAAATATCGTGTCAAAAGATAAGTCAGAAATAAAGGTATGCCATTTTTTATACATTCCTGTATTGCCATATGTCAGTGCACATAGTCGACAGTCGTATGTTGATGGACGTACAATCTTATGAGTCCAATCCTTTAGCATATTTAAAAAGCCAGAATCAGCATTATAGACAAACAGAAGGCGATTTCTAGGCGATGAAGTCGAATGATCAATGGAGATCTTTGTGTTTGTTGCCATTATGATAGTGACCTACAAAACGATTGAAAAATATTCAATAACAAAAAAGAGCAAAGATAGGTCTATTAACCTGACCATACATACATCCGCACCGTTAATATGAGACAAGAAAGAGGGCGTTAGTCCACTCATCTCATATTGACGATCAACATCAATATTCATCTTTTCTATTTTAAATTTCTTAGAATAAGTGCTTTACTTTCAAATTTTCATATTATTTAGTCAGCCAATAATTGGATTGTCTCAAATTATGTTCAATATTGAAAGTATACTACACGCGATTAAATATGCAAAGAGATATGTTCGATAAATGTGTCAATGGAATTTCAAGTCCGACAATCAAATAACTATGCCAAAACTTGTATAATGTTGTAGTATTCAATCAACAAATTTTCATGAAATAACAGAACTTGTTTCTTATGTATATTCATTTCCTTGTTCTAATGCATTTAAAGAAAATCTTTTTAATTATAAAGAGCATTATGTATGGACATCTAGTCAAGATTCAATGCTAAAGTGAAACAATCATTGTTGAATTAGGATAGGATTGCACTGTCAGATGAAATGTACTGAGTTTCTTTTTTTACATTTGTCCAATACATAAAAGACTTTTTCTGTCGATCATTTCATTATTTAACATGTGTTCAATCGAATCAAGTAAATTTTAATGTAAAAAGTTCAATTTTTATTTCATTATAAATAGAAATAATTTATTCAAGACTATCCATTTGAGATTTTGATAGAAGAGAATACATTTTAAATGATTCGATTATTTCATGAAGTTAATTATAGTAAACAAAAAAAAAGAATATTTTTGATTTCATATATGTAAAACAAAATCTTCATACTAGTTAAACAATTACTAAGAAAATCAAATTAATCAAATAAATGTAGTTGTAAAAGATCATTTCTTGATATGTTTCATATAAACTATGAATGTCATAAATATAGTTGAAGTTGATTTTAATGCTAGGAAGGATGATAACCGGTACTACCACCACCAATGCACTCATTTACATTTATATGAAAACTTATTGCTTGTTCGATATGACCAATAAGATTTATTAATTGTCAATAAAAAAAATAAAATAAAGATGAATTGACTATATTAGTCATTGGCAAACGTAAATGAGTTTAGGACTAATTCAAAATCCAAGATTTTCTAATAAATACTTTATAAGTTTAGATAGAATTGTAACTAGGGTACGCATGTGGATGTTGATCTCATTTTTAGATACACCCATACTTACATTCGAAACCTATTTTTTCTATTTATTAAGTCTACATACAATGAGATGAAGAAAATAGGAGATTTCAATTAGTCGATACGAAATTGACTCATCTTGTTTGCGTAGTCTTCATAAAAAAATAAGTGTTAATTAACTTGTGTGTGTGCACTGATAATGATTTCGATGATGATGGATATTTTTCTGTTTCGTGTCTACCTTAATAAATCAAGATAAAAAAAACAGATTAAAATATGTCATACGGGCTTTTGCGTCGATATATTTTCTTGTGCAGATATGATTCATGCATATGTTGAAATTCACTTGAATGTAGATATTGTATAGAAGTTTTCACATTGATTAACTCTTAAAAAATTCTTTTGTACAATTAACTATTTTAGATTATTCGATAGAGATCAGAGACATGTTTTTATAATTTAAAAATATGAGAAAAAAAAATGAAAGAATTTTCCGCTTTGAAATGGAACTGAAATTCGTAAACATATAGATGTAAGTCATATTCATTGTCCTAACTGTGCGGATGTTCTTCACAATCAAAGTTAAATTCTGCATTGTTTGTTTTCTTCGCGTAAGATTTATTTAGTATTCAAAAAAGTTCTGTTATAGGTTTTTAGAAAGAAAAATGTTAAATTTAATTATCAATTTTAAGTAAAAAAAGTTCAATTAATGTTAAATCATATGTAATTTACAATAATCACACATTTTAAGTCTTTTAACAAGTATTAATGAGTTCAATGCCATAATGATCTGAAAGACTTGTTATCATTATTCCATTTGTAGAATTGATTTGTATTCGATCATCGAATATGCGTCGTGTAAATAAGTTAAATGGATTAAACATAGATCCATGTGTAAAAATATGATCATAAATATAGTTATTAGAAAATGTAACAACAAGATTATCCGTACATCGTGTACAAAGACTATGCATTTCTGTATAATCATCAGACCATCTTGTTGATCCATCAGCATCACTCAATTGATGAATATAATTCCAACTATCAGGTTGAAGCGCTAATACATTATGTTCAAAATTATCAATACCCATATTAAAATCACCTGCCATAATAGCATTTTTATATTTCTGTTTATTATTAAGTAAAAAATTCCAAACAAGTGATTCAAGTTCTTTTATTTGACCTTTGTTTTCATCATTCCAACTACCATATTTATTATTAGGAAATGATCCAATAGGTCCATGAGGAAAAGGTGTTTCAATTGTAGCTACATGTGTATTAGCAATAATTAACTGTTTGTTTTCTTGACTAACAATAATATAACCACGAGGAAAAACATAAAAATCTGAATATAAATTAGCCGCTAGTTTCTTTAATGGATATGGCCGTTTTGCTAATATCATCAGACCTATTGAATGATCCCAAGGAGCTTCGGTTGAATTAGGAATAATACCTGGTGAAGTACTAAGCAATTGATATACATTAACTGCACCACAATAATTCAGCCCTAATGGATCACCACAACTAATAAATCGATCAAAAATGCATGCCCAACATTTTGAATTGCTATAAAGAGTTAGAAAGTTTGTTGAACATTGAGTCATGGCACACACCAGTTGCGCTGAACCACTAAAACTAGAACAATGTGTAAAAAGACAAATTTGTGCATTCGTTATGTTCGAAGCTATACACGCAGGACTGTATGTGTGTGGTGGTAATTGATTACTACTAATATAATCACGCATTTGATCCTTTACGACTTCAAAATGAGGATAAATGTCTTTGACGGATTGATAAATTAGACGTAAAATTTGTGGACCACCCCATACTTCTTGTAAACAAAGAATATCAACATTTTTCTCACGAATAGCTTTGATAATCGATGATGTCCGTTCAAATGCTTGTTGTTCTTCTAAACCAATATTCCATGTTGCTAATGTCATCACATTTGTACGATGTTCTGTACAAATAATTATTGATATTAATGAGAAAAAATAGATGAACACTGAAGAATATATTTTTGTTGTCTTTCCAATTAATATCATGATTGATTACTAAGAAATAATTCTGAATCGATCAATTGAAAATAAATTAGGTTTTTTTTTTCTTTTCTAAAATCAAATCGTTTTCGTTGTATATTACTTTGAAGAAAATAAACAGTATATTGCATGGAACCATCTTGAAGGTTCCTACTAATAAGAATACTCATAGTTATACAGATCCTAAATTTTGATATTATCAAAGTGACTCTTGAGAGAATTTTCTAAATCATCCGACCAGAACCGTATTAATTTCTTAAAATCACCAATGCTGATTTGATATGTACTCAAAGAATGATAAAGATTAGCTATCTCCTAATCAATTTTGATTATAACTGACTTTTTACTTCTGTATTTATTAGTGGAAATAAAATTATCTCTACTTGAAAAATTAGAGAAAAACAAGAATGAATTCTGTTTCAATGTCAAGATCAATCGAAAAAGACAAACATAATATATGGAAGATTCGATTCGATAAACTTATAATTGTTCTGAAAATAAAGGTTGAAAAACAATAGATATCTTTTGGTCTGTATCTGGAGATAAAAATAACAAAAGCATATTAGAAATAAGGTTAATACATAGAAATTATACGTTAGTAATATCGCTATTTTTATTGCCATCCTACGAAAAATATTTTTATAGAAAAAAGAACGGTTAACAACGATTCTTTAGTTCATAAACCACATGTTATGAGGGCATTTTTAATATTCTTTACAATGCGTTTTGAAGAGTTTTTTTGGTTTTCTCATGCACAAAATTTAGTTCTAATAGCATGAAAAGGTGATCATCAAAAGAAATCTCTGAACATATTCTCGAGAAACAGACTCTTACCAATTTAGGAATATATTTAATAAGAGCAGTTCTTATATTTATTAAACATTGTCCTAAGTGATAAAAACCCATTTTTCGAGAATGCAATCAGACATGACATTTAATGATAGCGTTCTAAGGTCGTCAGAACACCTGTTTTTTCACAAAAAGAACTTAAATTCGTCGTTTTCTTTATGATAAATGTCTAATCGAGAAATAATTTTTTATGGTTTGTTACATCGCTTACCAACTAATTCGCACATAAAAATTTAAGTAACACGCACACCGATACAAAATGAGAGGACTGATGAAAAATATTCTATTATATACCTTCATGAGACAGGAAGATTCATTAAAATAAATTAAAAAAGGTAGAAAGCCATCGATGCATAGTAGGTATGCAATTTTCGTCATCATTTACCTCTTTTTGTAAACATAACGAACATATAGGTAATGAGAATGATTAATCGGATATTAATAAGAAAAAATACATAAGTCTGACTAAGATCTTCAATGTTTGTCAAGTTAATGAAGTATTTTCACATTTTAGAATAATTTTCTTGCCAAATAACTAATATATAAATGATTTTCTAGTTAGTCAATTTGAACATGTCTACAGTCTAAATCTTATCATGGACTAAGTTTAGTATGTCCAAATAATCATATAAAATCATATAAAAAATCCCATTATGAGTGTAGTATCAATTTCTTGTAATCGAAGAGCTCGATTCAGCATCGAATAAATTAAACAATCTCGAGTATACCGCGAGATAGTTGAGTGGGGTTTATAATCTTGCTCGAACTCATCAATTACACGTAATATACAATCATCAGAATGGTATTTATGACAGTATCGAACGAAATCTATTTTCACCGTATTACGATTACATTCGATGTCGAGTAGAAACGATGAACTAAGTTGATTCAAATCTTGGTTTGAATAATCACTCATAGAAACAATATTGATCGGAGCCAACTCATGATCACACTTTTTTTGCATTTTGCTTGAGCAAGTCACATATTAGTTCAATATAAGTGAAAAATCTTTTCATTTTTTATCCAGTCGTTCATCCATACATCGCATTTGGTCGTGTCATTATCATAAAATATATAAATGGAATAGACTTGGTGTATGTCATGAATAAGAGAAACAAGCTGTTCATCGAACGCACCTGATCAAATAATACAAAACTTTTTCGTTTTTGATCTCTATAAGAAAATCTATACGTTCGTCAATATCGATGAACATATTAATCACAGTTACACTATGCTGAAGCTAAGCGATGTAGTGCTGATAATCTTAACGTTATTGAATAAGTCGATGATTTTGTATATGTATTGATAATATTAGGGTTGGCCAATATTGGGTCGATTTTATAATCGGATGTTGTTATCTGCTCTTCCTGATAACTATTCATATATACTTGAAGAATTGAAAGTACTCTGCTTGCTTCAATTCAAATGTCACTGGCAAATTGGTTTTATGACGACTTTTTTTATGTTGTTTCTGCTTGATTGAGTATGTTTCTAGTAGGTTTTTTCAAAGTTATTAGCGTTCTCGTCAAACTTCTTCTTAAACGACGTAATTAATGATGTTGCTGTTTTTCCTACACTCTAAGGGAAAGGATGTAATTATCAACACTAAGAAACTTTGAGAAAGACAGTATAATGTATAGCTTCAAGCATTGATAACAGCTTTCTTTGTTGAAAAAAACACAGAGCTACTACTTTTTTCGTCATATAACGTTTTTAGGGAATATAGAGAGCTGCACACATACGGACACAATCTATTCTACGATTAATTGTAACATGGCCTTCTCTTTTGACATTTATTCGTCTACAAGCATATGTGCACAACTTTCTATACATATCTATCAATTGAATCATATGAACCGATATAGATAAATGTCGGTTGCTTTGAATATTTTCAATCTTTTTTCAATGTTACAGTAATGTGTCGATATATTTCTGGAACAAAATTGAGTTTGATTGTATGGATCAAATAATAGTGCTTAGAGTGATATGCGTTGAACTATTTTTTCTTCATCTTCATCGCGATACTTGTAGTCAGCGTAAAAATGCATATTTAATGCGCATGACTTCAATAGTATTTCAAGCGACAGATTTTCCAAAACCTCTGCATATAGCTCGAGAGCATCAACAAGTTACATGAAAATAGTTTAAAAGTTAAGTTATGAATAAAAATACTGGTTACTTCTTTTGTATGATGTATACATAATGATTTATGCTGTTATCATCAAGATCTACAAATGTTCATGAATTTTGAATTTTGAAATACTCCTAACAATACTATAAAGCATAATAAACAATAAGTCTTTGTGAATGAACCATCTTTTGATTGATTTCGATTGAGCTATAATCACTTTGCTGTTCTTATTCGATGCACGATGTTAGAAAAACATTAATCATTTTTATTGAAAGTACAGCGACTAACTTGTTCATTATGTCCTTTTTCTTTAAGTTTTGAATATGAACATGAAATATGAGTCGCATTCGAAGACAAAATACAATCCTAAATTATTGAGTTACTGTGTATGTGTCGAATAATGAAAGAAGTTGACTGAGTCATGTTCACCAGACATTCACGTATGACTAATTTATTATTGTATGATGAAAAGAAATGATAAGTTGTCTGCAGATATTCACGTCACCCATTCATTATCAGTTTTTCCAACTCCTACTCATCATTGCTAATGTTCAGTTTCAATAAAGTAGTTTGATAGAAGAAGACTTAGACACTTGTAGTCTCAAGGACAATACTGATTATCGCCGTATTGATCTCTACTACTTTTTAGAAAAAAATATACTGTATCTTGTTTAATATTGTCAACAGTTTTTAAATGAAAAACAATATAAATAAATTAGACAAAGAATGTTAAATTCGAGTATCTGCATAAAAACTGAATACAATTTATTCAAATGAATAAAACTATGAGTCTTTCTGATTCTATCTTATCTATAAAACATGAAAGATATATACAACCGAGAAGAACTTGAGTTATCTATGTAACAAAAGTCAACATCAAAGTTTTCAAAATATTTCTTTATCATAAACAGAAGAATAACTTTGAAAATTTACTCTCATACAAGACATGCACTTTAGACTCTCAAAAATCATGGTAGAAGGATAGAGTATGGATTTGAATATGAGACAAGAAAATACCCAGACCTACAGTCTATTGATACTTTGATTGCAATGGCAAACGCTGGAGAAATCGTTTTGGTATAACATGTGCTAGTGGAATACTATTTGACTGTTTTGAATCGGTCTATGTCTGGACCTAAGTGAAGACTTCGACATGCAAACTGATATCCATTGAGGTTCAGATGGAGTCAGTGGTCTCTTCGAATGAAACCAAATGAATTAGAGAAGATAGTTCATGCCATCATAGTTCCAGTCTTGAAATCGCTACAATCTCACTTGCTGCCCAATAGCAAAGGAAAAAATAATTATTAAAAAAAACGTCCTTTTAATTGTTCTTTCTTTATATTATTTTTTCTATTTGTATGCATCCCTTGATAAGAAAAGAAATAGATATATGTGAGAGCACCCTATGTTAAACGCACACTTGTTCTCTGATATATAGTTCGGTAAATAGAATATAGTCTTATCATGACTGCAGCTGCTTCACAAAAAACACTTCAATGGTGCATTTGACTTTTTTTCTCCCGTTAAGCATTTTCATATAGCGTCTAAAGACGTCTTTCTTTTTCTAATTGGTTTCGAAAAGAGAGGACAAGGGAGCTCAAGAACCAATCTTGGGCTATCGTTTCTTCTCATTAAAATAGTGTTTCAAAGGTAAAAGTTCATGATGAATTGTTTAGTGATCAAAATAAAGGTTTTCAAGAGTGATCCAAGGTATTTTGTACTTCACCATGGTCATAGTAAGCTCTTCCTGACGAAGATTGAGTCTTATTTCGAGATTTAAATTTTGCTCATTTAATTGCATGCAAAAAAAAATATGATGCCTGAAATCACTATGGAAACCTAAGTTCATGAATATATTTGTTTTCACTGGAAAATATTTTGCTATTGGAAAATTACATTTGAATACCTATCAGTTATTTGTTATTCGTTGATATTGACAGGGACCGATTTTCGATTTGAAGTATTTTCCAATAAAATAGATGCTCATAGACTTGGCTTTCGACATTGATTTCGCTTATCATACTTGCTCTGTATTCAACTAAATTAATGATAGTCACAACCCGTTCAAACTGAAACTCAGAACAGAAATACAAATCTCGATTAACAATTGATTGCAATAGACTTTGACTCAACGCCTTTTACGTGGAATAATGGTCATTTCGTTATAAGCATTAGTATTTGAGGTACGCAGCACTTTAGATCATCCTGAAATGGCTTAACTTTCATTACCAAACAAGTTCTCGTGAAAATTAATCTTTGGTAGACTGTTTCAACGAGAATCAACAATAGCTAAAACCCAGCCCTTAGAGACCTTTATCCTTTTCGCCCGCCAGTTTTGAATGTAAAGCATTAAAACTTTGTGTTTCATATTTGAGTATATCCTAATGTTTCTTTTTATCTGATTGTACAATAGCGATGGCCAATCACATAGGTGTGAACGCTACAGTCAGTTGTTTTTCTCTTACCATATGGTTCCACTGCCATTTTTCTGTCAAAATAAAGTGTTTGAATACATATTGACAAACGATAGTCAATCATTTTTATTAGATAAACAAGGATTTTTCACTCTGCGATGGATTCATGCGACACAGCGCAAGCCATACATCCGAAAGGAGCGGTTGAAATTGATGTCGACGAGCATATTTACTGTCACCCAGATTATGTCAAGGAACTTTATGATCAACGTTCGTTCAGTGCACAAACCCTATACGAAATTATCGAACAAGCCGTGCAATTATATGGTGATCGGCCCCTATTCTCTTACAGAGCCTCGCTCGATACACCATTCCAATCCTATACATACAAGTAAGAAATTTACAGTATATTCTTCGTAGACTAACAATTAACTCCCAACCACAACAAATATTAATCCACAGTAAACTGTTCTTCTCGTCTACGCTAGATATCAAAATTCGCCATCAAGTTGGAATGCAGTGTTAGGTTCTATGTACGCAAACACTACTTTTTTTTGCATTCGAAAAAATTCCGGCTGCAACTAGAAAGTGTTTGCATTCGAGGAAAAAAAATCTTTTTCTTCATTAAGAACGTTTTACATTGAGATGACGAATCCATTGGAAAATGCATATTAGGCTAGAGCATTTTTCAAGAATATGAATAGGAATCGGTAGAAAACGAATTAGTCATAACTTTATCCTAGATAAGACAAGAAATGCTTCAGAACAATTGTTGTTGATCATAAACTTCCATAATGCTAATCAAAACGACGGTCTTCATCTAAAAAACTTAAATTCGAATTCGAAAGATATGGCAGCTTATGCTATACAATATTGCTACTGTCTCGAAATAGTTTAAATAGTTATGACGGGATTTATTCGAGTATAGGCAGAAACGCATGCTCTTTCCAAATCGAAGACCATCGACCAAAAGGATAGTTAATAACTGATTGCTTCTTTCCGTGACACTATTTTTTGTTAGTTTCAAAGACAACCAATATTAGACAAACAAGATAGATATTTCATTAATCACATCATATTTTGAATGTACTTATATTTACTATTTAAATGATTGTCGGTTGACAATTCTTTTTGAGATAATAGATATTCGTGTATATTCTTAAGACAATGTTGTATTAAACGCAAACCTTTTGAAGTATAACGCCGTCTTAAAGTATAATTTTTCGATCTAATAAGATGCCCGCAGTTCAAAACTTCATTTAGTATAGTTTTTACGTTCTTCTATCATTACTATATTGCTGATAGTTATGTTAATTCATGAATGCTTTTTCGTTAATATTCTTCTGTTCTGTTTTGATTTGTCGTTCGTGAACATTTTTGGATCACTGAGCGAAACTACTTTTCAGTATTTCTTTCCATTCCTCTGCAGAGATACTGAAATAATATGTTAATCTGTCTTGTCTGTAACCTACGATGTCTATAAGTGGTAGTAGGAAAAGGCACAGAAAATTTTCGGATACCAATTAACATTCACTATGCTCATAGTGAATTTCACAAAATTATAATCTTGCCTATCAAGAAAAGCTATGTCGACTTGTCAATTTCGTCCGATTCGCAGCATTTTCTCAGATAAACCGACAATGTAAATTGAGGTGTTAGGCGCCAACTTCTCATGTAGAAGCCGTGGATCTTAAATCTTCGAGAGGATCATACAAGCATAACATAACAGGAAAATTTTTTCTCTTGGTTCCTATCTTGTTCAACTGTTTTATTCAAATAACCTTGCTTTTGACTTATTCTTCATTAAAGTGAATATGTGTTCTATATAGGGAAGTATGGAACATGCTTCTTGATATAGGAAGTGCCATGGTCCATCTTGGTTTGGAAAAATCAAACAATACATCCATTGGTATATATGGTTCAGCCACAGTGTACTATGCTTTCTTTCTTTATTCGTCATGGTGTTTCTCATTTGTACCGGTGGGGATCTATGATACTCTTGGTCGCGATGGTGTCCAATTTATTATTAAACATGCTGATCTCAAATTGATTTTCGCGGATAATTTGAAGCGAGTACGCAATCTGATCGAATGGCACGACGAGCATAACCTTCTTGAAACGATTGTCAGCTTGTTCGAACCGCCGTTCGACTTGATCGAAGCGGCAAAAGCAAAAGGGATTCGACTAGTCGCATATAACACCTTCATGGAAATCGGTCGAACTCATCGAATAGAGCCTGTACCGCCCAAACTTACTGACACTGCAGTGATCATGTACACTAGTGGAAGCACAGGTGAACCAAAAGGTATTGCTTTGTTTGTAGGAAGATTTCTTTTAATAAAAAGTTTTTCCTTAAAGGATGCATCATTACTCATGAATCTTTCATCTGTGCTGTTGCCGGAATCACACTGATGGTCAATCTCACAGACGAAGTTCTACGCATCCTCAATTTTATGCCTTTGGCTCATATGTTCGGTTGTACAACTATTATCGTCGTTACATCATTAGGTAGAACAGATTTTTCTATAGAAAAATAATTTGTTTTTCAATATTTTATGTTCACTGATTTCAAGGCGGAGAAATTGGATTTTGGCAAGGAAATGTTAACAAATTAATGGATGAATTTCAGGATTTTAAACCGAATTTACTTACAATGGTTCCTCGTCTTCTCAACAAATTATACGATACAGTTATGTCGGAAACTCATCAAAAAGATCATCCATCTAAAAGTAATTTCATCAAAGCCGCCATTAAATCAAAATTGGCTGAAATTCGGAAAGGCAATTTTTCCTGCGACACTGTTTGGGACAATCAAATATTCAATAAAATTCGTTCAATGTTTGGGAACAAAGTCGAACGTGTTATTGTATCTAGTGCGCCATTGTCTCCTGAAGTAGCCGATTTCTGCCGTGCGATGTTCTCCTGCACATTCATCGAATGTTACGGGCAAACCGAGTGTATCATGGGCTGTTGGCAAGCAACGAATGATACTCAATCAGGTGAAACAGGAATTCCGACTCCAGTCAATTATATTAAATTGATCGATATTCCAGAAAAG